TGCTTTCTTGATAGCAGCCATTCTTTGTGGGGTGAGGTGGTATCTCAGTGTTGTCTTCATCTGCATCTCTCGAATGCACAGATATGTGGAACATTTTTTCATATATTTACTTGCTACTTTTACTTCTTTGTCTGAGAAATGTCTGTTCATTTCAGATGCCCATTTTTGAATCAGGTCTTTATATTTGAGGGCTTGTTTTGAGTCCTTTATATCTTTTTCTTTTTTACACACTGGGGGTTGAAACCAAGGCTTTGTGCATGTTACACACATGCTCTGCCCCGAGCTACATCCCCAGCCCCAGGTGAGCCCCTTTCTGAAGAAGCTTGGTACATGAATCTAAAAGACCATCATAGTGACCACTGATATGGTACCATCTCCTGCTCCCCACCCCAGTTCACACCCAGGGCCTTATGAATGCTGGGCAAGCACTCTACCGCTGAGCTCCATCTCAGCTCCAACTCCTGCTTCTATATCTCAAACCTTTAATAGCTCCATTCTGGCTGCTAGACGTGATGCTTCCATTTGTTTCAGAATTGTGGCACCATCATTTTAATGATCACATCCCTCTTTTTCCCTTGGATCATTCTATCCATTTCTTCTATCAAGGCTTTTTCTAATAGCATCAGCAACAACTGTGGCCATGATGTTACTGGAGCAGTTGTGGTTGGCCTGTCTTGGTCCCAGTGGGTATCTTCCTCACAGCAGCAAGTGGCCTGGGCTGGCATCCTGCTACATGGTCCAATGAACATTCTCAGAATGCTTAATCTTCTCCTCCTTGTAAATGGGGATCTATCTTTTCAGATATACCTTTACTACAGTGGTTTCAGGAATTCCCTCACATACTTAGCATGCCCTCATGATCTCATATTAAATTTCACTAGAGTTAGGACCACAATCATATGCCAGCTGGGAGAATTTGTCTGTTACTTTAAACCATAGTTCTCAAAGTATGGTCCCTAAACCAGTAGCAGGAGCAAGGCTTGGGAATCTATTATATATGCAAATTCTTGTCCCCTGTCAGCAACCTTCTGAATAAAAAACCAAAGGGGTGGGGCCTCACCATATGTGTTCAACAAGGCTTCAAGATGTTTCTGAGAAATACTAAAGTTACAGTAATGTTTCTTAATCTTGGCCACATAGTAGAGCCACCTAAGAAGCTTATAAAAAATACCAGGGCCTGTGCTTTTCTCTCACCCTGTATCAACTCCAATAGGGAGCAGGGACAACAATCTTTCAGCCTCCTCCATGTAGTTCTAGTGCATAGTCACATTGGTACCCACAGCTGCAAATTTAAGTTCATGTACCCAAGGGAGGAAAATAATACTTAATCTCACAGGGATGTTGAAGGGATTAAGAGCTAAGTACAGTGCTTACCAAATGGTAAAGCACTTGACAAATGATAGTTATTGTTACAGTAATTCCTCAGACTTAAGAGATCAGAGCTCCATCATCAGGCCATGAAAGGACACTAGAGACTTGAGGGCCCCGTATTGATTGTTTCATTCAGGGTGTGATTCTGAGCTTACCAGGCCATTACAGCTCCCAGGCATTATGGGTGCTGGTGGGTCTTTGCCATGCTACTTGCTTTAAACTTTCCTGTGCTTGTGAAAAATGATACATGTAAGTACAGCGATCAAAGTTATGAGCTGTAGTCAGCTGCTTGAATGTAAAACCTCCATCTAGACACTTGTAGCTAGTACTTTTGGGCACAAGATCAAGCCTCAGACTCATCTGTAAAACAGGGACACTTACCACTGTAGAGGTTAAGATATGTCCTACAATGCACAATAGCCCACATGTGATAATTACTCAAAAATGTTGACATACTTGAATTCATTGCTCCTGAAGTCATTCCTGGTGCTGCAAATCACAACTCTTTTTCCAACCCTCTTCTTAAATATTTATATTATTTGTTACTAGTTTGGTGCTTAATGTACTGGTCACTTCTCATAGATATTCTCAAACTGGACTTCTGTTTATATAAACCTCCTAAGACTTTCAATATCTGTTGGAAACACTGTTTTTGTTTTTATTTTAAACTCAAAGGACCAATCAACAGTTTTGTGGTTTTCTGGAAAGATGATTGTGTGCTGAGCACCAACTTAGACTGTCCTGTTGAGACAATCTTAGGAGCAGCCCATGTATTCCGCATCTGGGCCCCAGAATGCTCTCCCATGGATGACTACACTCTCTCCCAGGAAACATGTTCCTTAAGTAGAATAAAAAGGAGTCTTGGTATCTTAGAATGGGCTTAACTCTAGCTTCTGCTTTAAAAGGAACCTATAATATTGCCAGATCTCCAAGAAAATTGCATCTGAGTACTTTGTTTGGCTGGTTCTCATGCCAACATAATGACCTCTCACTCCGTTTTGCTGCCTGTGTGTCATATAAAAAGCATTTTACCTTTTTAAGTTCAACATATTTTTCTAGTTATCTTGGTATCTAGGCTTTTATTGTTTCTGTTTTATCTAAGCCTTCTTGAATGTATCACTTTGTTTTGCTGTCTTAAAAAATTTTTTTTTCTTATTTTTGAGTACTTAAAAAAGATTTTTAAGGCAGGGTTAGCAGGTTAAAAGATGTTTTATTCTATGAATTGCTCTTGAAGTTTGTTCCCAGTTCTAAATCTCTAACATTAGAGATGGAATGGAAGAAAATGGAATTTTAAATTTGCTTTTATTCTTCCCTGGAAGATGCATTGTAACTTTTTAAAAAAGCACTGTAATTACACATACATGCATGTCAATGTTATGCTTTTAAAAAATGAATTTCTGTAGCCCATAATTACATAAAAAGTATCTCCTACCTTGTCTTCCAGAGCCTATTATGCTGCATGTATTTATTTCTTTGTAGGCTAGGGATTGAACCCAGGGTCGCACACATGCTAAGCAAGTGCTCTCTTATTAAGCCATGCTCCCATCCCTGAGAGCTATAAATTTTTGCACACATCTGTGAACACTGTCTCGGAAAACTCTGCTAGAAAGACAGCAATTTTTATTAGTCATGCAAAGCAGTCTGTGTAAAAATGTTGGAGTAACCTTGTACAGTTTATATAGTCCTTTTCACAAACACCCTATATTAATTCAGTGAAGCATTATAATTCTAGAAATGAAGCAAAGGTTTAGAGAAGGCATTGTAGGATGAGAGGTAGAGATTTTTGCCTCTGAAACTCAGCCACTTTTTTTGTTTGTTTACTATGACAAAATCCCTTACGTACACCAAACACTATCAGGAAAGCACAAGTAGTTTAGGTTTAGACCAGAAATCCAGTTGAACAATTTGACTAACCTAAACATAGTGATTTTTTTCTGATTATACCTGTTGTTGTCAGAACCCTTAGTCCAAAATGTGTTGTCTTCCACAGAGTTGAGTCAACTCTTCCTTCCCCTTCTACTTCCCAGCAGGTCCAGTAAAGTTCATGGCAGTGTTCTGAATCACACAGCACTTTCTCTAACAGTTGATTTGAGGGTAGTTACATGTAAATATATTTCAGCTTCAGTCTGATTTTCAGCATGGAGCAGTAGGACACTGACCTACTACTGGGTCATCTAACTTCCTCATCAACCATTATTAAGGTGCCTTGCAGCCTCAAGGTCTGACAGTTTTGTTGAGTTCTTCCATTAGCTAACCAGTGACTCAGGCTTGCTGTTGGCATCTAATGCATATGCTTTCCAATGCTGATTCTAACCTTCTGCTGCGAACCCTCCTTCAAAAGTTGGAGATCACATAATTCAGAACAATCACTTAGCTTTCAGACTGAGATCTTGTTCCTCAGCTCAACATCCACCCATACCTGGCTCAGCTGCATTGGCCAAGAATAACCATGCATCTGCACTTTCCTAAGCAGACTTCTGAGATCATGCCAGTATTTTACCACACACACTTACACTCACACAATCTTAGCAACCACATGTATTCACTTCTGTATCCTCTACTATGTGTCAGGCATATGGCAGATACTCAGTAAAAAGCTTTAAATGAATGGATTCTCAGCCTTCACTTTTATCAGACACGTCACCCAATTTTAAATATATTTTTTAAAACAGGCTATAAGCCTTAGCCATGCCATCTGGATTATGCATCTTTAAAAATAACATTTGTCTAAACATATGTACTGAGATTCTTACTCACCCAGGAGTCATTCAGAATTTCAGGGGAAGACTAGTATAGTTGGTGTAGCTGCAATATGTACTGTCACCTGTGCATTTTGCTTTGTCTGAGAAAGGTAGTTGAAAGTACTTTAGTATAATGCACAGTTAACACTACTGTGTTGTTCGCTTAATGATGGTTATGAGGCTGAATTGTTTTTACCACAATTTAAAAAAAGTATTTAAAAATATTTACTGCAGTGCTAAAGATTCAAAAGAACTCTTGAAAAAAAAATAACAACAAACCCAGGCATAGTGGCACATGCCTGTAATTCCAGCACTTGGGAGGCTGAGGCAGGAAGATCACTGAATTCGAGGCTAGCTCGGGATACATGGGGAGTTCAAGCCCAAGCTGAACTACATGGTGGAACCTTGGGTGTGTGTGTGGGTGTGGGTTGGATAAAAAAAATCAGAGGCCCTTACAACCTCTTTGGAAACTCAGCACTAGAAGTCAATGAAATCAGCAGCCAGCTACCCAAATATATGCAAGTCATCAATAGAAATGTCTTACACTCTGACTTCCAGTTAAGTTGGCTACATCCAAGTTTGTTCACGGAACTTGCAAAGCCTTCATAGTTTGGACTATGTCTATTTCCTTTCGACCAATCAGGAACCAGTTAGTGACTCATTTTGGTTTTGAACACAACAGTGTCTCTTTACCTTAGAGCTTTGGAAACTGTTGTTCTCTGCCTCAAACACTTTTCACCATTTTTCTTCTGATCTCATTTATCCTTGGCTTAGCTTAATGCAATTTAAGGGCTCCCAAATGAGATTTGGGCCTCCGGTGATGTATCTGACCCATCCATCCATCCATCCATCCATGCACACTCGCACGGGACCCTGGCTTTTTCCTTTGTAGCATTTAATACAATTGTATATGATCATACTTGTGTCTCCCACAAGATTGAAAGGCATCGTTTCTCTTAATAACCCTGGATTACCAGTGTTCCAGTACCTTGTAGACATTAGGTGTTCAATAGTCCCTTTCCCAGAACAGCCTTTTATCCCACTTAGATATGCTTACAGGAGTAGGTGGAGATGCATATAAAGTTTGTGAGCTTGGTGGTGGAGACAGTGGCTGAATGGCCAAAGAGATGAAAGAGGTTTAGGGATGAGTAATAAGTGAGGAAGAAAGGGAGGAAGGCGGAAACTGTGGGGCATTTATTTAATGAGATTTCTTCACTGCCCCAATATCACATACCCACCCCAAACAACTCATTAAACAATAAATTATGTATTCATCCCATTAGAGAATTAGGTAAACCTCAGATTACAAATCCAAGGCCAAAATATTTTGCAGTATTAGAATGTATTCAAGAAAGCAGGCACAATTTAACTGGATTAGATTTCCACATGGGATGACTGTGTTCCAAATGACCCTCACTGAGGAACATGATATTCCTCTTATATGTGGAAAGACAGTAGATGAATTCTTCTTAGTCACCCAGGAAGTAATTTTCTGTTTTCATGGCAAACACTATTTCCTTTTTGCTGCTCTTTTTCCTTCTCCTTTCCTTGGTTTCCCCTTTCCACGAAGCTTCTTTAGACGCCTTTGTTCATCCTTAAAATCCTGATGCTCATCTCTGAATGAAGAAAGGAAAAATGATCAATCAGCCAGATTGGAAAAGTACACTAGCACCTTCTCTTAGGTTGTTTTGTTCTTTTATTTTGTTTTTTGGAAACAGGGTCCCTCTGTAGTAACACAGGATGGCCTGGAACTTGTGGCAGTTGAGTTCCTGCCTCAGCCTCTTGAGTGCTAGGATGATAGGCATGTGCCAACTCAGAACAGGCTTGTTCTGTTATTGATCCTTGACTTTTCCTAGCTCATGTGAATTTTGGTAGAAAATATGGTGCAATGAGTTGGAATCCAAAAGTTCATTTGTAAATTAGTTTTCCTTCACAGAAGCAATGCCACAAACTGCAGTTAACCTCTCAGACCCGGCTAGGTAAACCTATGTGACTGTGATACACAGTAGCAACTACCCCACTTCCGCTGCATTAAGACTTGGTAAAAACTTCAGCGGCTACACAGGGACCCCGACTGCCCCAGGAATAATGAGTATCTACTAATTTTGGGCAGAGGTCTAGACAGAGCTGCTTTAATAGCAGTAGATACCTCCCACACAAAGGCTGCTAAGAAAGGCTCAGGCAGAAAAAAGCCAGATCAAAAGGCAGCCAGGACTATTTACACAGGGGTGTTGGTGAAGTTGAAGACTGCCTATATTTCATTAAAATATCCGCATCTTAAGACTAAATAATGAAAGAATAGTATAGTGCTTAAACTTGTAAGCTGCGGGATCCATTTGAACGTGGTTTCAAGTCACAGCTCTGATATTTATTAGCTCTGTGATTTTGGATGAGTGACCTTACCTTTTTGCACCTTAGCTTCCTCATCTGTAGTGTGGAAATGAATGTGCTTAAATTAAAAGTAAAAGAAGGGTTTGCTGGGCCCAATTTCTAACTCCCTAGGCTATTTTAAAACAGGTCTGCTTTATAGAATTTCATGTTTCACTTCGTCAACAGGAAGGCTGTTGTATAATAGAACTCTTTGAGCTTAGCTATGAATGTTAAATAACCCTCAACAGAGCATCCAGGGTAATATTTCTAAAACATGTCAGATGAACTTACCCCTCTGTTCACAGCCCTACAAATGCCTCCCCCTTTTACCCAGAGCAAAGACTCAGTCCTTCACCATGGTGCTCACTGACCCATGGCCCCCTCAATCCCCGACTGTCCCTTGGCCTGCATGACCCCTGAGTCCTTCCAAGCATATGCCTGCCCCAGGGCCTTTGCTTGATTTTTTTCCAGGTCTCAGGGGGGCTCATTCACTGCCCTTTAGCCTCTGCCTAAGCACCACCTCCTGTCTGATGCCGCAACAAGGCCACTCCCTGCTCACCATGGCCCGGTCAGCACTCTGGATCCTGCTCAGCCAGCTCTGCCTTTTCCCCTACAGCATGTTCAACTTTGAGACATGTCCTATCAGTCACCTACTGTTTTTATCCCTTCCTTCTTCCCTGAGTATTCCTTATCAGCTCTTGGCCAGAAACACAGCTCCATGGAGCAGGGCTTTGTCTCTGTTGGTGCTAGATCCGAGGACCTGGTGAACTGAGAGAATCGATTTTATCTGAGAACTTGTGCTTCCCTCCCTCTTTTGCAGACCTTTGAATCAGGTTTTCTTTACTGAAGTTTGTCTAGTTGAATCTTGCCTGCTGCAATAGGAGGCCTGGCATTAGATGAGCCATTTGTATAACTTGACTAAATATATGAAAATAATGCTTTTCCATGGATAATTAAGTGCTAAATCTTTCTCTATCTCCACAGGAGCCGAGTTTTTGTTCTTTAAACAAATGGAGCATGGCAGCCAACAGATACATTAGAAGTAGTTGAATGTGGTTTTGTTATGGGTTATAATCCACTTGGGATCTGGCTTCCGATGTTTTATTTTGGGTAATAATAAAATTAGTTTTTACTTTCTGAGCCCAACTGATGGCAAGCTGGACAACCCAAAGCAATCCCAGACATTCAAACTAGGTCACAGATAAAATTTCTAATAATACATTTAACAAGAAAATCTCTGCTGTCCACTGCTGTTGCCCTGTGCACTGGCACACAGAGATATTTAAGACACATCTGTTGGATAAACAAGCATACTAACCTTTAGTTTTCTGGAATGAGCACCTTGCTGCGCCATTAATTTTATCACGTTAGAATGAAGTATTCCAAATTAGTTTGTCTTTTTGCCCAAAGACAAGTCCAATTTAATATGTTAAATGATTTAAAGCATGATATGTACTTTAATATTATATAATTATGTACTGTTTGAATTCTTTGTAATGAGCATGTATTCGTTTGGAAATAAGAAAAAATTTTAAAGAAAATGATCAAAGGTATTTAACTGTTTTTTCCTTAAAGAGGCATACAGTCCTAACACCCACTTCCTGGGCACACACAAACATACCAGTGGCTGGTATTGAGAGCAATGTTGAGGGTGTACCTTATGGCCAACTATAGGTTATTTAGATCAAATAAATATATCAGAAAGGTACAAAATAAAAATGACAGAATTGAAGGCCAGGGATTTAGCTCAGTGGTTCTGGCACCTGCCTCGCAATCACAAGGACATGCACAAATTTGGTCCCCAGTACCCCACCACCACCAGAAAGACAGAATTGAGTGGGAGGGCTAAGAATGCCAATAAAACTGCTGCCAAGAGAGAAAGGAGGTACACACACACCCACTGAGAGGCAGATCAGGTACAGGGCAGAGACTGTTCATCTGACACCAGGAACCTGCTTCCCAGGCAACCTTGGTGTGCCTGGGGTTTCCTTCTTTTACCTCTGGGCCGGTTTTTTCTATATCCTTTTTAAAGTGCTCTTAGATGCATGAATAATTAAACATCTCTTTATAGCTCAGTATCAGTTCAATGTTAATCATGTTTTAAACATAATTAAAACATGTCTTTTTTAGGGGTTTGCTCATTATGGGTATTTCAGAATAAGCCACAATCTCTACTGTTTGAACTCCTGGGCTTTTTCATAAGAATTATAAAACTGTAAGAACAGAAAGTCTGTATTTTTTTCCTCTGCTGACCTACTAAAAATATCTCATGGGTCCCTCTTTGTGGTTATTTCTTTATTGGTTATTACCTGTAGAGGCCAAGAAAACGGAGTGTGCCCATGAGTGCGAAATATGTGTTATGGTTTGGATACCAGTCATAGGTCTCCTTCCTCTTAGCCATGGGCTGTTCACTGAAAAGTTTCACCACTTTCATGGATTTGGAGTCAGTCGGCCTGGCAACCTCACTGAAGATTCGGGCACTCAGACGGCTCATGCGCAAGGTATATTGTGAAAGCGAAGACATTTCCTGAGTAGCAAAGAGTAAGACTCCCTACAGAAAATGAGATGAAAGAGAAGTAGGTTAGATAATTCTCAGATTATCTAAAGACGACATTAGAAAATGAAAATGTGGCAAGCCACACAGAAACACTATTGGCAGGAAACTCCTTGCAGTTGAGAAATAGGCACAGTCCAAATGGCTACATCCTTTGCCTACGTCACATCTATATTTAGTTTGTGTTCACATCCTAGTATTTTCTTGCTGTGTTCCCCCTTTTACAATGCACTATTTTGTGATCCAGTAGGTTATTTACTGGCAGTCAATTTACCTATTTGCAGGCTGGATGGAGAGGACAGGGAAACAAGTTATTCCACTACAGCATTGTTATTATGCCTTTAGAAAACAACCACCTAAGCAATCTGCAAATAAATATGCTGACTGCTTGCCATCTAAAGGTGTAATCATGGCAGAGAAATAATTACGCTGTTGTCTTTATCACCAGGCCTTTGAACACTGTTCTCTTCAAGGACACCAGATGGCTCTGAGAACTGCTAATGAGTTATGAGGTCATTTGGCCTCTAGGTTACTGGATTGAGTTCTGCCTGGAGACTGAGAGCCACTTGGGAAAAACACATAGTAGCCTTATGGAAATAAGCTCAACAGCTTGAAATAAAGATTAACAGCTCAAAAGATTCATTTTATTCCTGAAGAAAAGTCACCTAGGAGTTGTGATGTTACCTGACTTAGCCTTAATACAAACTAGCTAAGTTCTTATTAATAACAGCAACTGTCTCAGAGGCACAAAATAGGTAATAAATAAGAGAGACAGCCATGATATGCAAAAGTTTCAATTAACAGACATTAAAAGTATAGAGGGCACACATAAAAATCGACACTGTGGCTGGTGGAATAACTGCTATTTATTCCATTTTAGATCAGATGCATGATTACTGTTGGCTGAATGTGAATTTATGTGAAATTTTAATAGTGAGAGTAAAAGACTATCTGAAGCACAGTTTAGCTAGGATGAAAAGGAGCTGATTTCCAAACAGAAAAAAGGCATAAACCTAACATAAAAAACCAATGGGAGAACTGTAACAAAAAAAACCCTAAGCAAGTATGGAGCCAAATAGTTCCTCAGATTTTTACACATTATTTTTATAGGTGACCCACAGCTTATTTTAATCAAATAAATATATAAAAATGTACAGTAGCCAGGCATAATGGAGCATGCCTGCAATCCCAGCACTCATGAGGTTGAGGCAGGAAGATAGTCATAAGTTCGAGGCCAACCTCAGCTATATAGTGAGTTCAAAGCCAACTTGAACTAATGCCCCCCGCAAAAAAAACCAAAACCAAAATAATGCCAAGAGGGGAGGAAATAAGAATGCCAACAAAACTGCCAACAACAGCAAATGCAGGTTTCTAAACACTTGCTAAGAGGCAGTGTGGGGAAGGAGCTTTGTTCACCTGGTAGAATTTCAACAGTGTCTTCAAGGAAACAAACAAATTTAGTGTATAAAGTAAGGATATTTTAATACACTTTTAAGATCCATTAAGAGAGCAAAGCTGACAGTCAAGCCCATTCTGAACACCAACCAAGCAATCTTGAGCCAACAGTGCCACCTGAAGGCCTGCAAGAGGAGAACGATCAGCTCCAGGTCCCCCATCCTGAGTAGGAATTCTTGCAAGCTTTGCTCCTTTTCCCTTTTCACTCACTTTTCTCCCAATTCTTGCTCCATTATGTGGATGCAGGTGGGACTGGGTTGGTCCTATTAGAACTAGGGTTGTGTTTTTATCAATAAGAAGAGGTTAGTAACAGTTACTGTCTAAATAGAAACTGGTAACAGATCAGAACCATACCTCTAAAGACCTTGCAAATGCCCAGAAGTCCCTCCAGAAGCTGCAAGTTTTTTTTTTTTTTTTTTGCATGCTTTATCTTTTCTTTTCCTTCCACTATTAGAATGCTGCTTTTCCAAACACCAGTTTAACAAACCATTTCTTCACTGCCTTGTCTAACTTACAAACCATTATGGCATCAGAATAAATTTCTCTTGGAATCGCACAGGCTTTCCAGATTCTTGTAAGCTAGTCTGGGAACTATCACTTACTGCAATATTTTTGGGAAAAAATGTTATCAATTCCAAACCACTTTTTTTTTTTTTTTTTTTTTTTTTTTTTTTGGTACCAGGAATTGAACTCAGGACCTTGTGCTTTCGAGGAGGGCGGTGGCACCATTGAGCTAAATCCCCAGCCCCCAAACCACTTTTTTAATCAAATAGAGGCAACATGGAGTCTTGAGGATTGGCTCTGTCATTTATTATCTGTGTTATGCTGAAGTTACTTATTGTCTCTAAATTGGAGTTTCCTTTTTCTGAAAAAAGTGCTTGTAGATTGAGGGGTTGGAGTGACCTTGGATTCAAGAGTTCTCCACCTGCAGGACTTCTGTGAGAAAAAGTTACTATTGTAATTTAAAAAAATATTCTCAATCTCTTTGCAAGTTTAATGTTCATATGTTCCACACAGAAACATCTGTTGATTACTTGTCCTTGGTTAGTCATGAAAAAAGAAAGAACAAGAAAGAAAGAAAGAAACAAAGAAAGAAAGAAAGAAAGAAAGAAAGAAAGAAAGATAGATATATACCACAGTTAGACCTTTATAGTACCTCCTTGATATATCTTCACTTACAAAGCCTGAGAGCCAGGAAATATGGTAGGGAGGTGCCAGCACCTTGGTAATGTGATAGGTAGTAAAGAGGACAGTGGTCACTGAGGCCATTACAGGATGCTAAGTTACCTCCATGCCCATTTTGCAGTAAGGCAGACTATAGGGGTACATCACTCATAAGTAGTAGGGCCACATTAGAATTCATTGGAACATGGTTATACCACAAAACCGAAGTCCTAAAAATTTTTTGACAAGAAAGGGAATAAGCCACTTCATACCTGAGTTCTTTATTAGAAGCAAAGAACCACTTGCTAAGCAAGGGGAAACTGGAAATGCTTACAACAGTTACCAACACCACTGCTTTTTTCCTTCCACAGAACACAGACACTTGTCACTGACGGAGAATGACGGAGGAACTTGGTATCCTATTTTTTTAAAACATAGGTTAAAGGTTTAGCTGTCCGTAAGTTTTTTCTCAAACTGACAAATTATCATTTTTTACTAGCTTTAAAAAAAAAGCCCTTACATAGGCCTTTTCAGGACTCTGGTAAAATTTCCTTACACAATCTTTCAATTTTATCTGAAAAAAAAAAAACATGACCACGTACATGACATGAAAGTAAAAGGCAAATAATTTACATGTTAATTAGATTGATTCACATAAAACCATTTTAAGGGGTCAAAATAGTTGCTTTCAAATGTCATGTGAAACCAATGAAAATTACAGTTTGTGGAGGAAATAAATATCTGCAGTTAACCATGCTAAGCAAAACAAATTACAATACTCACACATGTCAACCCAAAGAAAATTCGCATATTTCTTTCTCCTTTGGTATAACAGGGCAGGTTTCTTTGATCTTTCTGATGCATTTCAATGTATTATTGAAATGCATTCTTATTCATTAAAAGGTCATTTTATTTCAATAACTGGCTTTGAGTTTGGTTTGCCTTTTCTCTTTGAAAGGTGAGAATGAAATGCAGGAATTCTTAACCTGGAGATGCCTCTGTTTTTTGAACCTGTAAAGCTGTATGCTTAAATGTGCACATATATGTGTAATTTCGCTGGGAAGAAATTGTCAAAAACTAATGTTTAGCAGATAGCCAGCTTCAAATCAGCTTCGAGGTGGATAAGCTGGTTGACTTCTGCCTTTTAACAGTCGTGTCATTTTCGTATTCTATGCCTCAGTTCTCTCATCTACTAAAGAAAGATAGTAAAAGACAGGTATTGAATTGTGAGGCTGATACGAAAAAATTTGCGGCCCGTGCCTTGCCCTGATCGTGGACTGAAGGAACAGCACACACTGCACGTGTCGCAGAAAAACAACCCAATCAGAATGCTTTTCTGTTTTAAAGTCCGCTACGAATTATTTTATTGGGTAGAAGGGCACGAAGGGCGCTGAACGTTTTTAATCAGTTCAGTAAGTACAATCCTTAACCCCGTCTGACCCTACCGCCCCAGAGTCCCACGTTTGAATCGATAAGGCAATGCGAAAATATTTCTCTTAAACTATAACAAAATTAATCTGCATGTCCCACACAAGGTTACCCTGAAGAAGGCCGTTTGGTGAGCAGAGAAACTGAGTCTGACTGTAGTAATCTGGGGATGAACTGCGCCGGAGAGGAAATTACAGCAGTAGGGACGCTGGTGTCCCTCGTTTAGTAAATTCCCCCAACTCACGCAGGAAAAAGCCGACGTGTTTGTAAGGTGCACGTGCAACTTCCGAACTGATCACTATGTTCCTGGCCACTGTACAAGCATGGAGCTCCCGCAGGACCTCTACCGCGCTAACCGCTGGTTAGATCGATGCAGACCCGGACAGCCACAGACAAACTTACCTGGTCCTACACTTCCTCACCCGCGCGCCCTGACCCGGAAGACCCGCCCCTACCCGGCTACAGAGAACAGTAGAGAAACGGAAGTTTGGCGGCTAGAGCGGAGTCTTGGTAACTACCCGGAATGACTTGCGTCCTCTCTTGGGGTGGGGCTTTAGAGGTATACTTAGCGCCAGGGCACTGAGGCTATCACCTCTGCCTGTTGGGATTAATAGGCAGGGCGTTGAGAAGGGCAGATGGAAGGAAGAAGTTTACGCTTTTGGGAAGGTCGGCGTAATTTTGTTGGTAATGGCTGCAGAGCTGCCTCCGTAAGCTCTGAAGCAGTGCCGATACATGCGCAATGTAATGGGAAGATGAAATGCAGTTTCTTCCTCTCTCTTTTTTTCACCCCGCGTAGACCTTCCGTGTTCAAAGAGCTTTACGTGACGCTTAGGGGAGGAGAGTCTTTCTGACTTCCGAGGAGTGCCATTTCCCTCCTGTTCCTCATATGTACTCATCCTCTGGCAGTCAGGATCCCCTGCAGGAGGCCTTGTTCGCTTTTGGCTGGGTTAGGGGCTCTGAGCGTGCTATCTCTGCCTCACTGTCTCTTCCCCTCACCCCCCCTCCTTAGAAACATTTTAGGTATTTCAATCTTCTAAGGTAAACCAGCATGGAGTTGTACACTTGGCGAATATTCAAATGACAGAATTTCTGGTAATTAAGTTTTGACATGTCAACCTATAATAAATATAAATTATAAACTTGGGTGTAATGACTACAGTTACATTTATACTGGGGGTTATGGGAATCATGCATAATTGCATTCAATAAATGTTCTTGGTAGCAGAATTCTTGGGAGAAATTTCACTTGGGTGTTGTATTTCTGTGGACTTGGCTTATTTTTAAAAATCTAATATACTTTTTTTCATTTAAACAAGAGTTCCTTTGCATGTTGGCTGTTAGAAATTTTAAAGCTAAATTTATAGTTGACTGTGGCAAGAACTATTGTACTATACAGTCATCTTTTGCTATATGTACATTATTGGCCCAGGGCCCCCTACTGATATCAAAACCAACAGATGCTTTATCTTCTTGGTTTGTTTGTTTTGGTACCGGGGATCGAACTCGGGACCTTGTGCTTTCGAGGTAGGCTGCAAAACCACTGAGCTAAATCCCCAGCCTGCTCAATCTTTTATGTAAAATGTGGGGTTTTTTTTGTTTGTTTGTTTCTGCTTTTGTATTTTTTTGTACTGGGGATTGAACTTGGGTCCTTGTGCTCTAAAATGTATTGTATATAACTGGTACATAGCTTCCTATGTACTTTATTTTTATTTTTTTAAAATTTAATTTATTGGTACATTCTAGGTAGACAGTACAGCTACATTCGTTAGCTTCCTATGTACTTTAAACCCTCACTTGATTACTTATATCACCAAATACAATGTAAAAGCTATGTGTTTGTTATACTGTATTGTGAAGGGAATAGTGACGGGGAGAAAAAGTCCATCCGTATTCACTACAGATAAGTTTTTCCCCCAAATATTTTTCATTCGTGGTTGGTTGAATCCACAGAGGCATAAACTTAGGGCTCCATTTGTGTTTCGTTGTTTTTTCCATTTTGCCTATTGTCTGTGATAATGGTATGCTTTGTGAATCTCCATAAACTGCTATCAGTCTTTCTTGAAACATAACAAGATGTATCAGTTCATTTTCTGTTGTAAATAACCCGGTACCACAGAGTTGGTAAGTTATAAAGAAAGAGGTTTGCTTTGGTTCACAGTTCTGTTCCAAAGGTGAAGTCCACATCTGGTGCTGGCTGTTTCAAGATGTTGCAGCACATCACACAGCAAAAAATGGGGATTGTGTGCATGCATGCATGCGTGTGTGTGTGTGTGTGTGTGTGTGTGTTTGTGTGTGATCTGTGGTCACTGTGTTTTACTATAAATCCACAAGTGTTCAGTTGTGAGGGCTCTACTCTAATGGCTTTAGTGAATCCTGTTCACCTCCCAAAGGCACCATAGTTGGATTAAATTTCAACACATGAACCCTTGGGGGACACACTCAAACCATGCCCAAGTCCAAGCACAAGGTATAGAGTGGCAGGTGGCTGTTTAAGAACATTTATTATGATTCTCAATAAGTCAAATTCATAGAGTCCATATTAATTTCTGGAGGTTACTGTAACAAAGTGCCATAAATTTGGTACATTCTGGAGGTCATATATTCACATTCATTGTCACTGTATTACAATCAAGATGTGGACAGGGTTGTACTCCCTCCAGAGACTCCAGAGGAGGATCAGTTCTTTGACTCTTCCAACTTCTGGTGGCTGCAACCACTCACTGGCCTGTGGCCACATCACTCGAAAGCCAGCATCTTCAAATATTGCCCTGGTTCTTCTTATTGCTCCTCTCTATTTTGTTAGATATCCCATTGCTTCCCTCTTGTAAGGATACCTATATCTTGACATGTTGCATGTACCTGTAATTGCCGCATGCTTGACAATCTAAAACAAGAAGATCACAAGTTTGAGCCCAGCCTGAACAATTTATTGAGATCCTGTCTCAGAATTTAAAAAAAAGAGCTAGAGACATAGCTCAGTAATACCCAGTACTGCAAAACAAAAACAGAAAGCAAAGCAAAAAAGTGCAAACCCTAATAACCCCCTTCCCAACAACAACAATAACAACAACAAAAGCCCCACGCAATTGCATTTAGAACTCACTTTGTTAACATAAGATACTCTCTCCAACCCAAGAAATTTAGTTAATTTGTTTTTGAGTCTAGGTCTCTCTATGTAGTTCAGGCTGGCCTTGAAGTCACTATGGAGCCTAGGCTGGCCTTGACCTCGCTGCAATTTTCCTGGCTCAGCTTCCTGAGTACTGGGATTACAGGTGTGTGCCACCATGCCCTGCCAATGGTTGGAAAATCCAGGGATCAGAACCTGGTATTTTGGAGAAAACTTTTTCAGCCTATAACAGAATTGGGGGGAAAAAACCTATGAAATCAGAGTCTTTTTTTTTTTTTGATATTTCATTCATTTTTAGTTTTCTTCTGTAGAAGCCCTTATGTTGAAGCTACTGCTGGAGCTTGAATCCTCTGAACAGAGACTCTGGTGTGAGTTTTCACAAGATGGTCAGTGAATTCCTGGTAGGTAGACTTGGTGAAGACAGTCTCTTTCCAGAGGTCCGGGATCAGGTAGCTGTAGGTCTTGGAGATGGCATCAAAGGTGACCTTAGCAAAGTTGCCCAGAGTAGCAGTGCAGCCCCTGGTAGTGGTGTAGCAGTCATCAATACCAGCCATCATCAGCAGCTTCTTGGGTACAGGGCCTGACACGATGCCAGCGCCTCTGAATAAGAGACGTATTGACCAACAAGAAAGTTAAAAATGTTAAGGGTGGAAAAACTAATGTAATAGAATTAAGTTTAAATTTCTGTGGACATTGACGTTGCCAGGCCTTGGCTAACCCACGTGTACCTCTAGGCAAATGCTTCTTTAAGGGTACTTCTTACAATCAGAGATTGCTTTATAGTCAGATGCTATGCCTTGTATTTATTTCTGTGTTCTTTGGTCTGTTTTACAATTGTGTGCTGGGAATCATTGGTTAGCACTGTAGTTTGGATCTTAACCATTTTTTTTTTGTATTGGGGATCAAACTCAGGCCCTTGTACCTATGAGCCAGGTGGCAGCACCCCTGAGCTAAATCCTTGGATGTGGTTTGGATCTTGGATGTGCCCAAGACCCATCTGAAAAGGGCTAGCCCCCAGG